TTTCGTCCTAAATATTACGTTCGTTTTTGAGGTAGTTTTTTATAAAAGGTTTAAACTAAGCGAGGGTATTTTTTTTAAAAAAATAAAGCTATATAATAAACTTTATTAGTTTTAATAATAAAAGAGGTTTTATAATAATATAAATAGGCCTTAGTTTAAGTAAGGAATTTTTAAAAAGTATTTAGGGACCTATTATAAAGTTCTAGTTTAGAATACTTAGCTCTAAGTACTAAAGGAGGTCGGGGCGCTATAAACTAAGTATAAAGTTACTTATTCTCGTTCTTAAGTTTAAATATTATATTATATAATTATTAAATAATAAGTACGGCTACTTTAATAAGCTATGCTATATTATTATTACTAGCGGTTAATATATTCGTACTATTTAATTAATTTTTTTATAAAATAAACTTATTAAATAGGAGTAATTAAAGTATTATAGCTAGTTAGTTATAATAAGTATATTAATAGAAATTAAGGCTACGAATACTAAATAAATAGTATCGTAATTATAAATAGCTTTTTTAAAACTATATTTATAAGTTATAAAATAAATAAGGCTTTAATAATTAATTATAGTCTTATTAAAAGGGGTTTTTAATAAAAATAATTAAAAGTAATTATAAAATTTAATACTAAGTTAATTATTAAAAAAGCTATAAAAAGTTTATTTTTAAGCCCGGCTTAAGTCTATATTATATATAAGTTTTATTTTTAAATATATTCTTTATAGCGTTCTTATTTATTATTATTTAACTATTTACCGAACGGTTATTTATTTTATTTATTTATAATCGTTTATCCTACTTATTTATAGGCGTTTGTTTTTTATTTTATTATATAATTATAGTTATATAACTTATTTATAGTTCTTTTATTCTGAGAAGAGTTACCTTATATCCGTATTTTTATATATATAGTATAGTAGCTACCGCAAGTCCCGTAGGGCGGGGCCCTAGCCTTACTATGCGTATTAGGTCGTAATAAAAGGACTCTAATTTATTTTTTTTAAAAATAATAATTAAACTACCCTCTTAATTATAAACGTTAAATACGTATATAAAACGTAATATAACGAACTAAAAATTAAAATAGAACTTTTATTTTTATATATAAAAGAACCCGTAAGTAATACTAAAAAAGTAAGTTAATTTATAATTATTAAAGCTTATAAAATGCGTTTTTTTATAAACCTCTTTATAAATTTATAAAATAAAATAATATTAATAATAATTTTTATTTATAATATTATTTTAAAAAAGGCTAAAAAAAGATTTACTTATTATAATAAAAATTAATTAATAAAAGTAGTATTAATATTAATAATAAACGGGTTATTAAGTATAGAATTCTAAACTAATTACCCCGTATCTTAATAACTTTTACGTATATAGTTACTAAGTATACCCTTTTTATAAGGATTATAAGAGGGGTATATATTAAAAAGAGTTTAAAATACTTTTTTATAAATATATAAAATACTTAGTTAAATATATATTAAAAACGTATAACTTATATAGGGTCCAAGTACTTATACTCGAGTAAGTACTTATTATAAAAAATATTAAGTTTAATAAAAAAGTCTTTCATAATTTTATATATAAGGAATAAGTTATTATAAATAAATAAATAAATTTAGTAATTTAAAAGATATAAGAACTTTTTAATATTAATAATAAGTTAGTTTAAGTACTTAGGGAAGTAGATTTAGACTTTTAAAATAATAATATTTAAAATAATTTTATAGTTAGAAATAGTATTATTATTAAATTTCTAATTATTTAAGATACGAAGTAATTAATAAACGTATTTTAAAATATAGTTAATAAGGCTAAAGAGGCTAATATAGTTTTATTATTATTATTAACTCTTAAAATGACTTTCTTATATAAGCTTAGAAATAGGAGTAAAAAAGAGAATATAATAATTAAGTTATAAATAGCTCTACGTAGCTTATAGTTCTTTTTATAAGTGCTTATATATATTATAAAAGTTCTTAAGCTTTTAATTTTTAATAGCTCTTAATAAAATACTAAAATACGTAATAAACGAGGTACTAATTATAAAAAGATAATTCTTAATATTAAAATCGACGTTAATAAAGAACTTTTATAATAAATCTTTATTATTATATAAGAATAAGGCTTATAAAAACTACTTTATTAAGTACTAAGTATAGTTTTATTAAGTCTTAAATATTTAAATCGGGCTTATAAACCTTTATAATACTTTAATAATAATATTTTTATAACGCTCTTATATTTAAATATTAAAAACGGCAATTATTATAACTATTATTAAGATTATTTTATTTTTATTTTTATATTTAATTAGTAAAAAGCTATAGAGAAAAATAATATAAGATATATAATATTTTACTAAGTAATAAAAAGAGTAGTTTATAAAACCTATTTAGAGCGCTTTAAAAGAGTTTAAAAACTACGACTTATTAAAATTAATTTTTAAAGCTTATTAAAGAAGTTTAATAATATTAGATATTTTTTATAATAATTATAAAAGCTACTTAAGGATATTATAAATATAAAAATAAAAAGGCTAAGGGATATTAGTATATAAAAAGAGGTCGATTATTTAAAATAAATATATATTTATAAATATAACGTTAATAATAAAGTTTATAAAATAAAAGTACGTATATATATAAAAGGGGATATATAACTATTTAACTTTTTATAAAATACGTACGCTTTAACGCTCGTTATAAAGGCCTTTAGGCTTATAATAATAATAACTACCTAATTTAACTTTAAAATAAATTAATATAATATTATTAATATATTCTTTAATACGCCTCTTAAGAGCGAGAAACTAATAATTATTAAACTCCATGGGGCGAGGGAGGGGTTGAAAGCAGAGGAAGAGTGGTCCAGTGCCAGGAGCGCCAGGACACGCAATAAACCGGAACCTAGCCTAACTAACCAACGGATATTCTTCTGAGTTGCAATGATTGCGTCGGCTCGATCTTCGCGAAGGGAATGATCGGTGATAGAGTAGATCCGCAAGGCAAAGGGGTGGCACTGAGTGGCGGTGATATCTCCTTCAGTGAACGAACGACCTTCTACTTACGGATACCCGAGCACGTGCCGAGGGCCCGAACCGACTCGTAACAAAAGTAACAAAAGTAACAAAAGTAAGTAGAAAACGTATGCACCATTTCGGTAGGGTTGACAAACGATGCTTCTTAGCCTTACGCCTCGGGTGTGAGGGGAAAGGCCCCCATGACATCCGAAGTAATATTGATTGGAGGAAGACTGGGGTGACATGCAGGAGAGCGCAACCTAGATGCAGTGTGATACACAGCTGAGATTCTGCAGAATGCCCGCTCCTATGTTTCTGCTCTGTTGGGCTTAGCTCCAACAGGACTAGGTAATGGTAATACTCTGGCCAAAGAAGATAGGGCTGGGAACAAGGACGAGCAGAAGTTCTCCTACCTCAGAGTCAGCGGTACGTCCATCCCTCGCTCGCTCGCTAGTACTCCGTACAATCTACTCAATTTCAACGTCTTAACACTCGCGCATTGGAGGCGCAGCGTCTGCTTGCGCAGTTCAACGCGGGATAGCTCCCTCAAGCATGTTTACGGACCTGAGCCTGCGAAAGTCACCATGAGCATTCCTCGGTGCATCTTGATCATTTCCAGTCTCATGCTGTTCTTGACTCCGAGCGGCAGGCTGGGAGCATTGCCGCGTGCGTCATGCGCCAAGTCACATTCTTGGCCGTCTGTGACTTATCCAATCGTTGTCTAGCCGCCTTGTCGTAAACCCGGTTTGAATCACGTTGGTGCGCGAGATATGAATGACGGCCTGGCAGCTCCTACGCCAATGCATTCCTGACGTTGCGTAACCCCAACCTGCGAATGGCGGCACGCCGAGCATCAATCAGCAAGGGGTATTTCCACAGCCTGCTTCACAATGAATCAAAATAGTGGGTCGTGGATAGCAGATGAGCAGCAGCCAACTCACCAAGCACCCATCTGGAGGTGTCTCTTGTGGACAGATGGACACCGAAATGCGAGACACAATCTAACCCTGTTTTAGGAGGTGGACTTGGCGTTGGTCGGGCCGTCGAAAGAGGTCGCCGCACTGCCGTAGGGCGAGAGATATTGGCAAGAACCCGGCGTTGGAAGTCGAACCATCCGCCACCGCTGCTGCGTTTCATTCTCATCGATCTGGGCCTGTCTCTCTTTCCAATGCGGGGCGTGACAAGCTCGGCCTCTCACTACGACAAGCAACAACAGCCTTAAAACTGGTGATTCCCCTCCCGGGAGCTCAAGGCTAGCAACTCTCCTTGCCCTTCGTCGACTACTTGCAGAAGTAGTTATGTCATAACCTATACGGGGAAGACGACAGATCTGGTTGACCTCTCACCATGGCGTTTGCCACACGTTTAATGAGAGCCCCTGATCCTCGGGGAGCTGCACTGGCCATCGTACTAAGAGGAGGCATGAATACAGTCCTTTGGGACTCTTGTCAACTCGTATGGGATTCTTATGACTTGGTCGAAGATGATATCACACGAACCAACAGACACAATGTAGGTGTCGACTTTTGAAGTTCCGTCCACCACACTTACAGATTGAAACCAGATGGCCATTTTTGGCGTGAAGGGCAAGGTGCAGACTTGCAACAGCAAGACGCTCGGGTTTCAGATCCGATATAACATTCTCCGCGGATTGCCATCTCCTCACCGACTGAGTGTGAGTCTGGCGCCATTGCCAAATCAAATAATTGAAGACGAGATCGATAAAGCGGAGCAGATTGACATAATACAAAGCGGTCTGATCAGCGAAGTGCATCAGCAACAAAATGTACGGGAAAACGTACGTATGCTCACTGAAAGCGCATCATCTGTGAATCAGGATGCACTCATCAAGGACTTTATGGCTTTAGTGCCGAATGACAAGGCTCGGAGCGATGGCGATTGGGAATGTATATAGCTAAGGTAGCTGGGACATTGGCAGGGCTCGCTCTCAAATTTTCAGGTCACTGCAAACTGGATTCATTGGCGACGTCGCACCACCTCCAGTCGTGTTCGATGGTTTCGAACAACGGCTGTAACATGTAACAAAGCCTGTAAATAGACTCCTCAAGCTACGCTGTCATCAGATTAGCTATGTGACTGATTGATGCTTGACTATTTGAATATCCCAGTGCAGCTAAGTTCACGTATACTCTCTTGTTTTTCCCTGAGCTTGGTGTGCCTACTGAATTTTATTTGAGCTAGTGATAGTAAGATAGTAAATGAGTGACAGATAAGGATTTGAAAGCAAGGAAATTGAACTCGGCAGACGAGCAAGAGAGTGCACTTAGTCGTGGCTATCGCCAACTCGAGTATTCAACACACGTACCGGTCGCGCCGTCTGCTTCCACTCCCCCAAGTCGTACAACTTCTGATCCTCTGGTGCCACATTCCATTTTCCTACCTCTTCCTTGTATTTAAGAGTTGGGGCCACCGGCCAACTCCCTTGGTCCTGCAGCCAGAGTCTCATGACATGTCGAGGGTTGCACTCTGGACCATCCCGGAATGCCCCCCTGGCGTGCATGATGGACAGGTTGTTGACAAATAGAAGGTCCCCTGGCTGTGTGTCGAGTTGGAAGGCATGCTTCTCGGCCATTTTACTGAGAAGATCCAAAGCAGATATTTGGAAATCGGTTAGGTGCGGCGCTTGTGCTGAGAGTGGGTATTTCTCGTGTCCTGCCACAAAGGAGCGGCCGTAGTTGATTTGCACGCGACCGTCGATGTGACCGATGATAGCCCTTTGAGGGTAGATCAAATTCCCGAGGTTAGGGTCCTTGCGGTCTGGTTTCTCCCAATGCCAATTCGACGCCAAGGCTTGGATGACCTGAGGAGCTTCCAATGCCAGTGCATTGTACACTCTCCAGAAACTGGAAAGGTACTGTTCCCCTCCGAGCTGGGAGTTACTTTCCGTGAAAAGAGCCACAATGGCACCAGCATCTGCATCAGTATGGAATTCCTAAATCAAATGCCGTGAGCTGACAGTCCAGCAAATTTCACAGCTTATTCAACCCGTTGAACGTACCATTCTCACAGGTAGCTCCGTTGGTCGAAGGTTGCTGCCCATACTCTCATCCTGTTTTTCATGCCTGATGTGGTCTTCTCGCCTTGTCAGCTAAGATAAGGCAAGAAAAAAGTGACAATGAGACTTTGAAGGAGGAGAAGAAGAGCCTCCCGGTATGCGATTCTCATCCCGATCTAAGGGAGATAGATACTCACGGATGTATCCTGCTCTGTTGCTGGCAACATGGGCGGAGAGACCGGCAAAGAGCAAGACGTGGTCCTCATCAGAGAATTGGGACGGGTCGATGCCGCGAACCACGTGAAACCCACGATCGTCGTTAAGAATGTCAGAAATGCCTTGTACGCGCTGGGATAGTCCAGGCGAGAGAGGAAAGGAAGTTCGATCAATGCTTCCTCGTGGAAGTCCTTGCTCTAAGGTAAGAAATACGGAGTTAGTGAGCACGAGTACTTGTCAAGCCGCATAGGTTTGCAAGGTATGGAATGGGACCGCTCTCCGTCGTTGCACTCACTCTTGAAGAATTTGATTGCATCTTTGATCTCTTCCAGGTCAACTTCAGTTAAGACATCTGTATAGAGCTCGGGCCGGTTTGCAAACGAGCTGCCATCCCAGGCCATTGGCCCAGACAACTGGAAAGGAAACCCGGTTGGAAGGTTGACCATGACTGGAAACAGATTGATCAGCTACTCAAGAGGAGTGTAGAGATCAAGGAATCTTGTCCGCAGGTAAGTCTTCCGGAAGAAGTCGAGGCTTAGTATTTATGCGTTTCAACCTTACGCGGGATTCAAGACTTCAACTTGGAGTAGATCTTGGAACGAGGCTCGGATTATTTCCAGAATCCGGGGCATCGATACGCTGTCGTTTAGCTCCGCAAGAGAAGTGCATAATGAGGACCCCAGTGAGGAAAGAACTAATCTACGGCCGAGACATGTCTATTGGCTATCTTCCACTTTGAAGACGGCACACCAAAGCAAAGCGAGGACGAGTGTGCTAGACTAACGTCCCTATCGAGCAGGTCTCAAAGTCCTCATCCATCCTTGGTTTCAATCATCAACTGAAGTGAGGCTGCCAATTGCTGGGTACAGCAAATCATAAACCGGGGCCGAGAAAATCGAGCGGCAGGTAACCGGCACCTGACCCCCTTTGTGCACCTGTATTGTCACTTTGGGACGAATGTTGGAGCAGATATACACCCTATGCAGACGCCGCATCAGCCATCATGTGCATGAGTCACACATACATCCTACACATATGCAATCGCTCAGAAGAGGCTTATCTTTCGCCTCTGTACACCGAAATGCGCAGAAGAAGTGGTTGCCTGCTTCTCGGGCGACGAGACATATCCCGAGTTTGACGTCCCAGGAGGAGTGAGGCGCACATGCAAGCAGGAGGCGTACATTGATGGTGTGTTGGTAGAGTATTCGGAGTGAGCTTTTTGATACCGCGCCCTGAGCGCAATGCTTCGCCTAACCGACATTACATTGCACATAAAAAAGTCACTACTATGACGTAAGATAAGACCAGGGTGCAGCCTGACTGAGACACCATATCGTACCAGGAAAATTGACAGAGCCTCACACTTCTAAGGTATCCTCCTGAATTTCAGCCAGACTTTGGCACCGTGACAAAATTCAGCGTTGTCCAAGAAGCCAACAACCTCCAGCTTTCTACAAATCTCATTCCAGAAAAAGCTCTGCCATCCATGACAGAGGATTGACCTTGCCATTGGTCATGTCGCTTTCTCTAACCTCAGTCAACTCTTGTTCTACGAGCCTATTGTTAGCGGAACTCTAGTGACCATGCCTGAAAGAGGTTTCTGAAGGTATACAGGTAGATTCTCGCAAATAGAGGGTAGAATGCGTGTCAAAGATGGAGGAAGATCTTACTTCTCGACTGAACGATCGCAACAATGTTCTTTATAAATCCGATCGCCTCTTCGTCAAGTTTTGTATCCATTCCTTGGGCGAAGGCGTAAGATGGTTCAAACTTGAAAGGCACCATTCCTGACATGACGCATCGAAAGTGATAGAGGAGATTCCTCGCCGAGTCTCTCCATCGAGACATGAAATAGTTTGCTACAGCGCTTGCTGTGGCAAAGATGTTTACTTCCTGTAGACTATGTCAACCTACATTGAGTCTCGTACAAGCTTTATCACTTGCCTTACATCTGTAGCAGCTTCTGTCCGACGGAGATACCGGAACTGTGCAATGTAGACTTGCTCGATCGCCATTATAAGTACAAAAGTTGTGAGAAAGACTTCGTACCAGTTGGCTATCCTATTCTTCGAAAAGATGAGATGTTTGAGTTGCTTCGAGACATCTTTCATTACCTTTGCCATGTGGTCAATGTACAGTGTATCAAGCTGGAAATCAACCACGGTTGGCACAGGATACTTCCCGTGGATCTGCAAAGAAGGGTTGTCGACAGGCAACACGTCGAGAGTATCATCGCCCGTCATGATTGGCTGCTTGAAGTTGATGTACACGCAAATGAAGAGCTCAAGAGCTTTGTCAAGAACCGTGTCCTAGACTACTTAGCGCGCGACTTCATCGTTGACACGTGGTAAGGAGTTCACACACGGGATGGGCGGCGGCAAACCGTTCTGCTTCACTAATGCCAGAAAGATAGATTTCCTCCTTCATTGTTGCCTTGAAATCCTTCATAGCGATGGGTCGAATCTCCCGTATGTATTGTTGCAAAGCGGTTTTTACTTTCGGGGTAGAGAACTGTCAAAGATTAGATTGATGCTTTGCGACACAAGCGGGAAAAGGTGCGTACGCAGGCAAAGGGTGGGGATTTCACCCAAGTCACTTTCCCGTCAGACGATTCGAATGGCTCGTAGAGAATATGGTCTCGGTCTTGGAATTGTCGACACACTAACTTTAGTCTTGGCAGCTGGTCACCGGGGTTCAGAAATTCAAAGTCTTGGCAGACGTAGATAGTCCGCTGAGTTGGGTGATCCATGGACCATTTCAGCTTCGGTTGCTCTGAGTTTTTCTGGCCAGCACGCGAATTCCCCATTCGATAAGGCACAACATCCGAGAGATCAACTTTTTGGCACACCTGCTGGAAACGTCTGACTTTGGTTGTGACTTCCTTGCAACGGCCGCAAGGGACACCAAAATCGCACTGAGCCACTGGAATTAGCCCCCATTTTGGGTTGATGGAATGCCCGATGACTGACCTTTTCTTTGTACATACGGCACCGCAGACATGCCTTAAGTCGTCGTGGCTGCTTTGAGCTTTTCTGTTCCTGTGCATCTGATGATGGGCGCTTTCTCGTTTGTTGTTCGCTGACTTCGTCCCCGTTGCTAAGCTGGTCATCTGACGAGCTGTTCTCAGTTCCCAAACCAAAGTCATACTGGCAAGAGTATGGAGCTTGGCTTCGGTAGTTGATGTTGGGTTGGTGCACGATCTCGAAGTGTAAAGAGTCGCTTCTTGATATTTGTATCTGCTGTGGCAGGTTCGAAGACTCGCATCGCTTCGGGGATAGTATGAGGTCTCCATGAAATGTGGATGGACGGTCGGACCGTACCGCAATTTCCCCGAAGACGCCTCCTGGATGTGGATGCTCAGAAATCTGGAACAATCGCCATTAGCTCATTGGCAAATTATGAAGCCAACCAACTCTAAGAGTGAAGGCTGTTATCGTCTACATTACTTTGTTGACACCGTTAATCAGGGTTCCACTGACATCACATACTGGAGGTGATTTGGGTGAGCCCTCAGGCTCGTCTGACAAGTTATGTTCATTCACGTGCATGCTTTCTTCAGATGTAGAGACAGATGGCGTCGATATCGGCAAGAAAGATGAAGAAGATAATGATCCTCGAGCCGTGCCGTCGGAAGTTGCATGTGTATTAATAATGAGTAGGTCTTGAGACAGATGAGAATCTGAATGGCCGTCATTAAGTTGTGAATCTGTGGGAGTCCAACTTTGTTGCGGTTGCCTCCTCGGAGAGTACGAGGGTGCTTCCGTGGTCAATAAACCAAAGTGAATATCTTGCTCTTCACCTTCGTTAGATGAAGAATTAGGAAAGTCAACAACACCTTCAATGGACACACATGAAGCATCGAGCTCTTGGGGTGGTGATGTTGCAACTGAGGAAAAGGGGAAATTGTTGTTGAAATCCCATATCTGCTGAGTGTCGTCAAAGTTGATGCGTTCAAAGGCATCATCGGATAAACCGATGGTTTCGTGGAGTTTAAGGATATCATCATCGAAGGCCATTTTGTCTCTCACGACAGCGGGACTGCTGGTGGTCTCGGTAGTGCTGCTGCCCTGACGATGCGCTTTGTTTGCAGACGGTACTCTTCCGATATGTTACGTCGCAAAACGCGCTGCTACGACAGAAACGGATGTTTGTTACCCGTCAAAATCATATGGCGGCTGTATCACAAGGATAGAGTACAAAGAAGGTCGTGTGATTGAGATGTTTTTGAGGATGGCTTGCAGCATGTTCCAGAGGGGCCTATTGAGTGATGTGGGGATTGGTTGGGCCAACACCACTCTGCCAAGCAATGTGTGTGATTGAAGCCTGCTGCAATCCAGGCTGCTGCCAGCCGCAGTTGCAAGTAGCCAGACCGGCCAAACTTTAGGCCATACATTCATTATCCTCCAAGACAAGGGACTGATTGGTCTTTTGACGACCCCCACCCTGCTGCCTGATGGCGCCCGGCATGCTGACGAATGCGAATGCAGTCCTCACTCTCCCTGCCGCCCTGAAATCAACGCCCCAATCAGATGCCATTTCCTGACCGGCGAACTTCACACGGATGCATATGCGTGCCAGTTTCACTATTTGTGACGCCACTTGTCGTAGCTAGCCGACCAAAACTCACATTCAAATGAACAAATTGCAGATCGCGGCATAAGAGGCATCAAGAAGAGCCTCCCTGGTCGCATCAATTTGCAGAAAGCCATATATGAGCTGCGATACCTTGATTCCTGTTTACTATACATCCTGGTCTTTGGTAGAAGCGTATCCGAATAATACAGTCTACTATCACAATGGTGCCTAAACTACCCCCCTTCGGCGCTCTTCGTTTGGCCTCGCCCCGAGACATTCTTCGAATCGGCATTGTTGCAACAGCTGGTTTCCGGTATTCTCCCGTATTCGACTGGGAGCGGCCGTATCATGAGAAGTTCCCAAATGACACGATTCTCTCTTACCGTCATGGTTTCGCTTCTGCCCTGAAGAGCCCCGACTCCATTGTCCTCGTCGCCGTCGATAAGTTTGACCCTGAGGAGTCAGGGAAAACGAAGGCTATCATCCCAACAGACAATGGCTGGGAAGCCCCTAATGCAGGGGACGAGGTTGTCGTTGGAGTTGCGTACTGGAAACTAGAGCAAGGGTCAAAGCGGATTGATGAAGGTCAAGATGATTTAGGTATGTTCGATATCCCTCGGTTCGAATTGCTAAGTCTAGTTCAATTGTACTAAGCTCGTAGACCTCTACCCGGAGTTGCCGGCATGCCCGGATCGTGACAAACACGAGGAGCATTACAAAGTATTCGGCGACCGCGCTGAAGAAGCTGAGCATAAGTATTTGTACCGCGACATCTGAGCGATGAATAGACTGACTAACCGGACAAAGGTACTTCCATGGGGATTCGACCTTTGAGATGGTAGTTGTACATCCTGCCTACTGGAGACGAGGGCATGGCCATCAACTCACACAGTGGGGGCTGCAATTGTCTAAATTAGACAATGTCAGGCAAGGTGTAATCGCAGCGACTATGGGCAAGGCACTTTTCGCATCCATGGGCTACGAGAACTTGGAAGATATCAAGATTGAGGGGGATGAGGTTGTTCCACAGGGAGTCACTGTTTCTGCCATGGTCTTCAAGCCAGACGAGAAACCAGATGAATCGGCTGAGCTTTGAAGCATTGGAGTGATATGATCGGTAGCATGAGAAAGTTCGCCATTTGTTGACGGCAGGGTAGAGAAAGGACCTATTGAAATGCTTGTGACTTGTTTGCCACCTATTACTTAGTTTAGTGACCATGAAATCGTTACTGCTCAAGATAGCCCCGCGCACGAAAGCCCCCAGGAACCCTTTTCACGTTAAAACAGAGAGAGAAAAAAAAGGAAAGAAAGAAAAACCATAAAAAAAAACCAATAAAAGACTAAAAACAAACTGAATCATTGTATGTCATCGAAGCTGAGGAGGCCGCATCTGATACTTTGCGATGAGTGAGTGAAGCGGGAGCACCTTGGCGGTTTACGTGAAGGGCCCAATACTGGCAGTTGACCTCAGATCTCATACAGGAGACATGGAGTAAGAGAATCATCAAGAATCTCGTCACTCTTGAGTCGTGACAAGAGCTCTCAGGGTTAGAAACCTAGTAGTATTTAATTACTGCTGATTGCAGATTCTAATTGATATCATGCCCATTCGCCAGTTCGCCCATTCTACAGGCTGTAGTATATTTCCACTTCCTACACAAAACATCCATTTTAACTGTTCATATTATCAGAGTGAAATCATTAGAGTGAAATCGCGATTCATCATAAGAAAGCCACCTCATAACACCACAGCGAGCGTGATGTTGACTGCAACGAGAATAATCCGACCTGCGAGTCGCGCCCTCTTCCTGGTCTTCTTTGAGGCAAATTTCTTCCACCTTGATGGCTGTTCCGGATTGTCTTGTAGTTTCGTCTCGTCGTCTTCGGTGTAAACATTTGAAATCATAGAACAGGTCTCAAAAGTGTCTTCAGACAAGTTTTTAGACACTTTGTCGGGTTGCTTAAACATATATTAGTTATCGTCACAACATACATGCTGCCATATCACCTTGAGAAATATTTCAACTTACGTTCTGCAGATTGAATAGGTCGTTGTCACACTTTGGTTGTGTCTGACACAATCTCACACCGAACATTGTCGCATGGGTTGTGCAACGACAAGGCGGTGGCGGAAAGTTCTGAGTTTTTTTTCCCAAGGGGCACATCGTGATGTTGTTTTGCAAAGGCAGATATTGGCGTGCAGTGTGCGATGCCAAAGCGGTGTAGTGAATCCAATTTTGTGGCATGTGCTACGGGTGTAACCAGATTGATGTATTCATCTTTAACCGGCGAAAACTCTACCTCGCTGTATTTGGTGTGTAGATTTTCCCCGGTCGATTGATATTACGCTGAGCGTTGGTGGCTTGACCACCAATCTGCTAAGCCAATGCTTCGAGTCGCACGAGGCACAAGGTGTATTGATGGCGACCGGCGAAAAGCATCAACCTAACTTGGTCGGAGTACGGGGTCTCTTCATTTGGGGCAAGAAGGAGCACCGCTATGCAGCCTTACCCAGCTCTGTGGCAATGACCGACCAGCTGGTTGGCTGTGATGTAAGACGGATACAAGCTAACATGGACCGGCGAAGGGCATTCAGCTTCACCCCTGTCGGTCAAGTTTTCGCCGGTCAGATTTTCGCCGGTCAAGCCACGAAATCTCAGGTGGCTGAACGTGTTTACCCAGCTGTGGCGTACTTCTGAAATCCCTATCTCTAGGCTTTGTAAGTGATTATGTCTCTGTTCACGACCCGACGTCTCTTCATTACTTTGACCCGAAAAGGGCACTTCAGGTTATCTGAGTAGCCGTCTTTTCGAGAACCTTGATTGGATACCAGCCCGCTCATGCCATTGTCTTGGGTGCTTAACAACAACTCAACTGCATTCTTCACTTTTACCATGTTCGATAGCTACAATGGCTACAAGTTTGGAAAGGCCGAGCTGCTTCTAGGTCATGTCGGATATGTAGGTGAAGTACCTAAGTATGCGAGCCAAATGTCTGCGCTTCGGTGCTTCTAATCGGGCAAAAGACTTGAATTCCACAGGATTACATATCAAACAACCACACTATTGCAACACCAACCGATTCCCATTGGACACCGTCATTTGAGGACGGCTTGCCTGTTGAGAGGAGACACTCCCCCGCAGACGCTAATCAGCAGAGCGCCAAGGATCCTTGAGAGGTTATCTCCTATTTCCGGGATTCGTCTCCTTGACGGTATACGTCATCAAAAGTCAAATAATCGCACAAGAACCTAGCAGAACTTGTTGCGGGCTGATTGAATCAGCAATTTTCAGCATTGGGTCGAGAAGCGGGAACACCGGGCTTTAAGCCGAGACGTCGAACGCTTCACCCCGTTGTGATACGATAATGGTATTTCCATAAGAGTTCATCTTATGAAGCCATAGAGGAGAATCCCGTTCGGAGAATGCTGTAGAAATTTGCCCTGCTTAGAAACATATCTGAGCCTGAAAAGTATCCGCTTCCTTGGCATGAGCTGCACATCTCTATGTGCCGCACTAGGAGCATGCTGAATCACCATCCCCCAAAACAAAAGCGCCACCAACTTGCGATTGGTGCATAACGTTGATACTTTGAGGTCGAATCAGCCTGTGCGCCTGTCTTTAGATTTCTAATTCCGGACTTTATGGCTTTAACGCGCGCGGGACGGAGCAACAACGATACCTCGCCGATCCCGAGAAATGCATTCGAAAGAGGTCCCACGGTTCTGTTTGACATGGGTCTATAAGTACGACTAAGAAGTATTCATCACTGAAACCCATAACAGAGGGCAAGCACCGCACATCATTGTTCTTACTCGCAGTAACCCACACACCAACATAGTATCTCAATATGTCTTCCAAGAAGATCATCCTCATCACTGGTAAGTTCCCACCCTGAGTGGATCACTAACGAAGAGGCAAGGGTCTTTGGTCATCGAAGAGAGAAGACATGCGTCAACCACCGATTAGAATGAGAGTTAATGATGTTCAGGTGCAAACCAGGGCATTGGCTTTGACAGCGCCTGGGCCTTGGTCTCCGCATCCCCTGATAACCACGTCGTCGTCGGCTCCAGGAGCGCGGAGCGGGGCGCCAAGGCTGTGGAGGATCTTCAGGCCCGGAAGCCGGCCGGCACCGTGAGCCTCTTGCAGCTCGATATCACTTCCGATGACTCCATTAAGGCTGGAGCTGAAAAGCTTACCGCCGACTTTGGCGTCCTTGACGTCCTGGTTAACAACGCCGGCATCGTCATCATGCAGCCCAAGGATCGCCGCTCCGAGCTGATCGACACCTTCAACACCAACGCAGCTAGCGCACTGCTCCTCACCGAGGCCCTGATACCGCTACTCAAGAAATCTAAGGACGCGCGAATCATCAATGTAACGAGTGGTCTCGGTTCTCTTCACGAGCGTACGGCTCCAGGCGGTGCCTTTTACGACGTTCCCGCCGATGCCTACCGCATCTCCAAGGCGGCCCTGAATATGGCGACGGCCCATATGTTGTGGGCCTACAAGAGCTGGGGCGCGAAAGTTTGGGCCTTCTGTCCTGGCTGGGTCATCACCAATCTGTCGGGTGAAGACGACAGGCAGAACAGGATCGATGGAGGCGCCGAGAGTTCGGAAACCAGCGCGCAGGGCATTCTTGAGATTGTTGAGGGGAAGAGAGATGGTGAGGTTGGCAAGTTTCTCCAGAGGAATGGGAAACAGTTCCAGTGGTGATCAGTCCAGTATTATTAAGTGGGTATCAAAGTATTTGAACGCTAGGATCTCGGGGCTTCCAGCTCATCGCTTGATCGATATCTCTGTGGTCCGCATGATCCCTTGTCCTTTATCATCCTGGAGGATCATATCCTCGCTTCCAGACCCCCTGCTGCCGTCTTTTCCGTATGGGCTTTGATGCAGGTTATCTACAGCACTGCGCTGTACCTCAGAGGATCCAGCAAAAGTACGACCATGCATCTCGTATTCAACTTGACTGTCGTGAACTCTGTAGCCCTGGCGGCGTTTCGACGTATTCGTCCCGGTCCGTCTTCGATTCTCGTATAATTCGCCGTGATAGCGGTCGCTCGACGAAATCTTGAGGGCATGGCCGACAAGAGGCTTCAAAGATGGTGCGCAAGCCGCGATAATTCCGAGGTTGAGTTGTAAGCTGTCACAATCAAGTGTAAGTCAAAGCAGATGATAATTCGAGAAGTAAACTCACAATTCCCAGAATTGAATACTTTGGTAACTTCGGAGTTGTCAGTTGGGAACACTTGCGAGGTGATAGCAGTACGCGACTTACAAAGTCTTATCCATGTCTTTCCCGTACGCTATTTGGTAGACTGACTTGATGACACCCATAGCTACCGCACTATGGACACTTAGTAAAGAAAATAACACCTCAATCGGGGTTCAACATACAAGTAACCGAGACTGAGAACAATGATAAGATAAATCCGTGTCCTCAGTTTCATCTGCAACGTCCAAATGATGCTTACAGGAAGCGTAGCGAAGCATACATCGGTGAAGATGTTGAAGACAGTGTTGATCAAGCCAAATTTGATGAAGAGAGTGATTGGATAACATTTGGGTTCCAAACTCTTGTCCCAATATCCTTCCAGTGGTTGGCAATAGAAGAAGAACGTCATCCAGGCCATGAAACTATAGGCAGACACAAATACTGATCGCAGTTAGAAAGTAATCATGCGTAACCTCTAAGGTCTGATCATTCACAGCTCAAGGTAGTCAGTAAGGTACTTACCGATTAATGCCCAAAGACATCTCGAGTACCAGATACCATTACTGAGCCGGAGGAGAGAAAGGCCAATCGATACTTTCAGCAATGCCAAACCAGCGATGGAAGATATGATTGACTGGAAGAAGCTTGACTTTCTCATGATGACCATATTCTCGGCAGGGATGGTGAGTGTGTGCTTCCCAAGACCGTAAAAGCATTGCACTGAAAAGATTGTCATGCCTGCCATGGCACATAACTTCCAAAATCAATATTTCTCAGCCCTTAGGATCCAAAATCGAACATAAGCAGACGTACCACAGATGCAATGGCGACGTAGTCGTCTCTCCCCATAAGCTTGACGACGGCGGCACGGGTGTACACGCGGAGGCCAATGAAAAGCAGAGCAAGGGCGTGGAAGCCGCCAGTTACACCGACAATCATGGCGGTATTGCTCTCCTTAGCCCAATCCGGGTCAAGGGACGTGGTAGGTGGAGGAGCTGAAGACATTATAGCCGGTTATAGCTGAACAAGACGTACATTGAGACCAGGCAGATGAGAAACGAATACATAGATGATAGAGATATTGTGCCCGCATAGAAGAGCGAGTCATGGGTTCATATTCTGAATATTTACATGCAGCATGTTACAAAAAGTCTGCCATCTGTGAACGCAGGAAGCAAAGCAGGATCCAAAAGCGTGCCACGGCCGTCTCACACCAAGCATTGGTGCGCGAAGTTGGAACTGAACGGATGCGAGTTGCTCGTTCAGTCACGTTCCATTCGCTTTAGGTGTCAAGTGGGTTTGAAGTCCACCTGCCTCTTCAGAGTGTGGAATTTTCGTAAGCATGGCTCTGGTGTGGCAAGCTCACTCCTGCAGCTGTCTTCATCGAGAATCAGGCATCCGGTGGGATGGAACCTGCACTGTTTTCAGTCAACTGCTTAGCTGCGGCACAGAAAGGTGTGCCGCCCCCCAGCCATCCAAGTTCTCCGGATATTTCGTTTTCCTTGAATGAGTAAGGCGTGTAAGATTCTGGTGGATTGAGTCAAGTTGCGATAGAAATGGCGAGTGAGGTTAGAAACTCTAAGAGTTATTCACTTATTTTTCTCACGGAGTTATCTTCAAGTTCGCTGACAGCACACTTTGGTGAATTTATCTCCGAGCAACATATCATTAAAGAAGTCCGATCTAACTTGAAAATAAATTCAAAGTGGTGCTCGTTACCGATGTGTTCTTCGTCAACTTGCTGGGGTCAGTGGAGCTTTGGCTGCGAGACGGTGGCGAGGTTATGTCCAAAAACTAATCGCTCAGGCTGGGCTGTGAGGATTCATTTCCTTCACCAAGTATTACAGCCTTGGCTGCATGTATATCTGCCTACACCATATGTCGCCAGGTCTTTTGAAAATCCACCCAGGCCGGCCCATGTCAGTCGTCGGCCTCCCGGTCAACAAGAAGTACGATACCATTTCCTTATGCGATGTACGATTGTCCGAAAGATCAGGGGAGCTCAACTTGGCATGAAAATGATTTAAGGCCAGAGACGCAATTTCTCCACTGTTAAAAGTCTCTTTGAGGTAAATGAACCGAGTTAGATGATCTTTTCCCCAGTGATCGCGGGTAAAGGCCTTCATGTGAGTGATTCTCTAGCAAAAGCGGGATGTTAGTCTAGCCAGGGCATTGAAGGCTTGGGGGTCAAGGGTTAACGAATGAAAGGAGCCTAATCATTCGTCGACAGCCTTCAACCGCAGCCGCAACCGCAGGCATATCCGATCCTGGCGCACTAGATCCATGCTCAGTGGTGTGATACGGGCTGTTGTAGGGCATGTTCCCCGAACTCCCCTAGTGTGTCCGTTGGAACTAACATCTAATGTTGACAGTCTGTGGAGCCCCTGCATGGGTTGGAACGCTGGAGCTAATATGATGTGACAATCTGACGAGCGGGGGCGGGGCCTTGGTTGTAAATTGCAGACTTACAAGTTGCAACACATCTTCGAAGCTTCCTTAGTTCAGCGGTCCCTGCTATGGGCTGGTTGCAAATTCGAAACTTTGAGAGCCTATGCTTCAGCCTCCAAAGCCTTCTTCTTACACTCAAACTGAGTCAAGTGCATGTGGGCCGTGGGGAGAGTAAAAGTAATGGCGTGCCCGACTTCTTGCATGAGGTGAGATCGGTATTCCGCAGTTAGGAACACTTATTGGAGGCGAGAGAGGTTGACGGAAAGGCATACACAAGGTGAGAATCTCTACAGATTCAAGCTTAGAGACCAGCTATATTCACATGCAGCTTTTCCGGCTAAAGAGCTCCAAGGAAGTAAAGTCACCTCTGAATGTTGCCCTTTATTCTCTTCTGCAATTCCATGTTCCATCCTTCAGGCGGCTCGTTGATTGAGTGTCGACCTCAGACCCCACCATGTCAAGAAGCGGGCTCAAATCCAAGAGGCAGGGGTCAGTAACGAGGTCGACTTGCCTAGTTCAGATATCAACACCGAAGTGCCGAGAAAACGAGCCTTTCCGTAGGCCTTCCAACATCCACATGCAAGTTGTTGGCCAACACATGAGTATCTCTACGAATCTGGTCAATGGTGGCGATGAACACGCTCGCCAAGTCGACTGGTATCAATATGTTGAAATTACATTCGGCAGTGATGGGAATGCTTCACCGGTGGGAGCACGTCTCGGTGTATATAGAAGCCTCCCACATTCTCGAATGCCACGTTTCTCTGTTCCTTTTGCTCACCTAACTCGCTCCGCTGCCCTTGCAGATCCCTTCCCCCCCTGAAGCGGAAGCTTGCGTCTGGAACCCCCTTCATCAAAAGCAGACTTTAGCCGATTACGATGCTTCCCGTCAAGATCACAGCCGTCCTGAGCTTGGCGGTCGTCGCTTGTGCCGCCCCCCTCGACACCCCTCTCGAGGCTCGTAACGCCGGAGATGTGCTCGCAGACCTGCAAGCCCAAGCCATGGAGAGTTTGAAGGCGGCTGAAGCCAATGGGACCATTTCCAAGCGTGGATGCAACCTCTTCAACGCCAGTGTTCGCAGAGATTGGTAGGTCGCGTCTTGCCTCATAATTCTTTCGAGGCCCTTTTGTGAGACGGAGTGGCTAGCCCTAGCATACACATCTAACATCTTGGCTCAGGGCTGCTTTCTCTACCACGGAGCGCAAGGAGTACATCAGTGCCGTCCAGTGCATGTTGGCGTCTCCTTCCAAGTCCGACCCATCCTTCGCACCAGGAGCCCGCAACCGATATGACGACTTCGTTGCCGTCCATATCAACCAGACTCGGACCATTCATGGTACAGGCAATTTCTTGACATGGCATAGGTACTTTACCTGGGCGTATGAGAATACTCTAAAGACCGAGTGTGGTTATAAGGGGGCACAGCCCTACTGGAACTGGTTCGCTCACACCGATGATCCGCGCAAGTCACCAGTCTACGATGGGAGTGATACCAGTCTTAGTGGTGATGGCGCCTACGTTGCTCACAATGGCAGCGTGAGTGCTTCGCCATATGGCGAGATTGCAATACCGTCTGGCAATGGCGGCGGTTGTGTAACTAGCGGCCCTCTCGTGAAGTAAGCGGCATCCTCAACTTCATGAAAGTCATTATCTAATAGGATATAGCATGACTGTCAACCTTGGTCCAGTATCTCCCGGCATGGATGGCTTAGACCCCAACCCCAATGGCCCCATGGAGTACAACCCACGTTGCCTGCGCCGCGATTTGAGCTCATACGCAGCGTCTACTTGGTTGACGACCCCTAACCTACTTAACGTCACCGTTGGCCAAGCTTCTAAGAATATCTCAACATTCCAGAATGAGCTCCAGGGTCGCTTCTGGGATGGCTTCTTGGGTATGTTTAACGAATTCTTGAGATAGCCATAGTTGAGACTAACATTTCGAATGCAGGCATGCACGCTTCAGGCCATTTCGTCGCAAATGGAGATGCTAGTGATCTCTACTCCTCCCCGACCGATCCGACCTTCTTCCTCCATCATGCCATGGTCGACCGCGTTTACTGGATTTGGCAAGCCCTCCATCTCTGGGAGGCTTTTGAAATTGCTGGGACTATCACAATTCTCAACCTGCCACCGAGCCGTGACGCCACGAAGGAGGACATAGTTGAGATGGGCGTTTTGGCGCAAGATCGCTCTATCAAAGAGCTGCTGAACACTGTTGACGACACTCCGTTCTGCTACATCTATCTATGAAAGCATAAGGAATAACCATTCAAACTTTTGAGGAGTACACGTGCATCTAGCGGGCATGTGGTTCAGAGTGATGATGGTTTTGATGTAAAAAGTTCTTTCATTGCAGATCTCAATTCGTGTGACTGAGCCAGAATTTGCGCTTGCGTATAAGCATGCTAAGGTTGCCTGTACTGTTGCTCGTGAAGCCGTGTTGAAGTATCCTGGTAGTTTACTTGGGAAACATTAGACGCAACTTGATCCAAATTCTGAAGAATCTCTCACTTTTCAATTGACCATCTGCCAACCTATGACTCTCTTGTCCGCTAATGGAGCCAAAGGAGACCCAATCTGACTAGGGCTATGGCGTGACGAGCTATCGGAAAGATTTCGGAAAATCACCCTTGCCTAGCAGCAATGTGGTCAGCATTATCATCTTCGAGTTTCCACTTTCTTGCCTGAACTGTGTAGCATTGGAAAGTGAATGGAAGACTTCTATGCGGCTCTCGAGGGCCTTGAGGCTACTTTTTCGCGGAATCGCATCCACTTGGCGCGTTGTACCATCAAGACCTGCCATAGCGCAATGCCGTTATCGCGCAGAGAATTTGGCCTGGGTAGCGGTTGAGAGGCTTTTAAAAACAGAAAGAACAAGCCTTGAAGATGTCTTCCTGAGTTATCAGCTCAAAACGTATCATTTCCCTCTGATCTCTTAACATGTCTGCAGTCAGCCCTCGGGCGCTGAAGCCCAAAAGCAGGGTTCACGATGTTTTTCGCGGAACGATATTCCAAGCTGTCTTGCTGGGTCTCATCAGCTTCACTCAACCCGGAATATGGACGGCAATGAACAGTAAGCTGGCCAAATGCGTTTCTCTTACTGCGGTATGTGACTGCTGATCAATCTCTTAAGATTTGGGCGCTGGTGGTCAAGCTGAGCCATACGTCATCAATGCTGTGAACGTCATCACATTCGTGTAAGTTACTCTCACTTAGTCTCAGTCTTTCCAGAGATCCATAGATATCGTGTCTGTGTTGCTAATGACTTAGTATCATGATTGTGCTGTCACCGCTGGCGAGCATGGTCGGGAACTTGGTTGGAATGAAGTGGATTGTCGTCATCGGAACTCTGGGCTATGTCCCGTACTCCGCTGCGCTCTATTGTAACTCGATTTGGGGGACGCAGTGGTTTCTGATCTTTGGTGCTGTTACGTGTGGAATTTCAGTAGGTTCTCTCTCATCACAGCGGCAGTCATAGGTCTCTGACTTGAAGTAGGCATCGGCACTTTGGCCTGGTGAAGCCGCAATAGCTGTGGGCTATCCCGAAGTTGCTCGTCGTGGTGTCTGTAGTACGTATTTCCAGAGCCATGTAACCCCATCTCCGGACATTCGCAGCCCTCAAAGGAGTACCATCATTGCTAATCTCTCGCACAGTCAGCATTTGGATGGCTCTTGGGAAGCTCGGTTCCATCATCGCCACCGCGATTCAACTTGCCATCAACAAAGACAGCGACACAACCGGTGCCATCTCACCTTCGACTTACCTGGTTCTCGTTGCAATTCAATGCTTAGGTTTACCACTTTCACTATTGTTGGCACCGCCCGACAAGCTGATCCGCAAAGACGGGAAGAAGCCCATCTTTGCCAACTCTCAGCGCACATTCAAGACGCAATTCAGGGGCTTCCTCGCGCAGTTCAAACGGAGGGAGGTCTTGCTTCTCATCCCGGCCTTCATCACCGCGCAGTGGGGCGTCACGTACCAAGGCAACTACATGGCTGCATACTTCACCGTTCGCGCTCGTACTCTTGCGGGTTTTATCATTGCTGTTGTCGGTGCGATATCAAACGTTCTTGCAGGGTGGTGGCTTGATTCAAAGCACTTGAAGAGAACTACCCAAGCACGTTGGAGTTGGTATTTCTTGTTGGCTCTCTTCACACTGGTTTGGATCTGGAATCTGGTCGTCCAGGAGAGATGGGCAAGAAAGAGTCCTGGCGAAATCGACTGGGTCAGTGAGAGCTTCGGCGAGGGAGTCACGATTTTCATCCTTTACCGGTAAGAAGTTCTCCTCAGCGACCTCCAGAGCAACCATGACGGCGAATACTAACAAAGCGGTCTCAGCATTGCCTATGAGACTGTCGGCGTATGGCTCTACTGGACTCTCGGGACCTTTGACCTTGAAGCGGACACCATTGCTCTGTCGATGGGTGTCCTTCGTTCTGGGGAATCATTGGGTTCGGCTTTGGCGTATGCCGTCGGCTCTGTTCGCAGCGCCACTTTGATGACGAACTTGGTCATATCTGTAGTCGTGTTCTACGTGGGAGCACCAGCGACGACATGGGCTGCCCTCCTTGTCAGGGACCGACTCCCAGGTGAAGTATCTGGCCGGGACAGCGACGCAGATATTTCGGACGTGAACGAAGCCGAGCAATCTGATGCGGAGCAGATACCAATCAACTCCGGGTCAAAAGCATGATCTTTGCTCCGAATTCTAGATCGCCCTGTCGACCAGACCTATGGAGATTCACAATTGACTCCTGCATCATAGCTGGGGCGATGGATTTACAAACACGCTTGTCGTCTCACTGGTTTCAGCAAGGAGTATCAGAGACTGAAAGTGGCGCAGAAACTGATCCTGAGATAATTATTCTATATAGGCTAGGGGCCGATGCCCTTCAGCCGTGGCTCTAATACGCACATTTCAAGCTTCCAGTCTCCTTCGCCATGTTATTAATGACGTATTTCCATCACAGACCAAGATCCTTCTTCAGGCCTGGCAGAACCGTCCCCTCGTTGAATGACCAAACCAGCGCGCTGTTATGACCAGAGAAAGTCGCGCCAGCCCAGTACGTGTTACGCACGCCCTCCAGAGCAAGCAGCTTGCCATAGAACCCTCCCTTGATCTCCTCAGTCGAGACGCGGACGTTGTAGGGCTTATGGTCCGAAACATAGGGGAACGTGACCGTCTGGGCCGCGTCCTTGGGCACGGCGCCGACAGCAGCCAGCGTAGCCAGGTTCTTGACGAGGACAGCCTTGGCATCCGCCTCGGTGTAGTTCGTATCCTGGAAGCCGACGGCAACGAGAAAGTCATTGGGAGACCCGGCCGTGTTGAAGCCGTTCGTGCCGGGGATGACGGGCTGGTTGAAGGGGGTCTGGACGCCGACGTTGGTGAGGCTGGTGTTGAGGCCCGGGATCGTGGCGACGCCGGCCCAGTAGCCGAGGGCGGAGAACTTGGAGAAGAGAGCGTGCTCGTCCGAGCTGAGGTCGTACTTTGCCACGTTCTCCAGGATAGGGGGGATGGCGATGAGAAGCTTGCGGGCGCGGATGAGCTTTTTGGGTTGGCCTGGCTGCTGTACGAGGACGGTGACGCCCGAGGTGGTGGCCTTGTCGATCTTAACGTCGCGCTTCACTTTAAGGACGTCGGAGTTGAGAAGGACGCTGTCGCCGAGCTCCGCGGCGGCGGCGTCGTACAGGGCCCTGGTGTCGCCGTTGCCGGAGAGGATGAACTCGCCAAAGAGACTCTGAAGCAGACCGGGTCCGAGGCCCTTGATGCCGTACAGCGCCGGGATCGTGGAGATGTCTCCGGTCCACCAGTTGAATTGGGCGATGACGGTCAGGAGCGCCGTGAAGTTGTACTTTTGAGCGAGCTCCGCAAAGGGGAGCGTAAGTTCCTCCGGCACAGGGTCGGGAACGAGGAAGCCCTGGTCGATCCAGGGGTACTTGGCCAACACGTTGGTCGAGTAGGCCTGCGCGGCGGCCTGGAGTGCCTGCTGCTGCGCGGCCGAGGCCGAGGCGTTTTGCGCAGGGATAGGGAACCCGAGCGAGAAGTCGTAGCTTTTTGAGGCGCCGGCGGTGGCGCTGGTGAGAGGGTTGGCCTTGATGGTTGAGACGTTGAGGCGGGAGAAGTAGTTGCTGACAATCTCCCTGTTCTCGAGGAGGACAACGCCGACGTTGGCCGGAATCTTGGTCTGCGGGTTGATATAGGTCTCAGCGTGGCCGCCAATCTGCGACTTCTTCTCGATGACGGCGATCTTGGCGCCGGCGTCCTTGAGCTGGATCGCGGCGTGGATGCCGGCGCTGCCGCCGCCGATGATGGCAACGTCGACGTCGATCTTTGCCTCGGCGCAGGGCTTCGCTGCAGTTTGAGACAGCAGGAGAGCCCAGGCGGGCGAGGCGAGCTGGTTGAACTTCATGATGTGAAAGGGAACTAGGACAAGGAGTGACTGTAGTTGAACTAAGTGGTATTAGCAAGCGCACGCCGTATTAGAGATTAGCTGGCTATGCGGCATGTAGAGGAAGGAAGTCAAGAAGAACAGGATCTTAGCATATTCCTCGGGACAAACTGTTGTATTTATCAATTTACTCCTACCAGAACATTGTCCAGGGCCATGAACCTTCCCAGAGAACCTTTGCCGGTGCGGCCGGACGACCCGGACGTCGAAATGGCGGGCGTTTACGAGTGCCGAACCAGGCAAAGTTCCGCATCCTTCACAGCCCCCGGTTGCCGTGTAAGTGTCATGACACCCGAAGTGACCACTGATGGTAGCCACGGGCGCACTAGCTTTCAAGGATTGAGAGCAGAATGCCGAACTGCAGAGTGAACGAGATTATTATTAATCTAGAAGGAAACTTTGACCTTGACAGTTAACGGTGCAAATGGCTTGCCCGGGCTCCACCAAGTCCGTTTAAGCTTTGACTAGCGGTATTGACGCAAGGTTGTCAATATAGCCTCAATGGCATGCTACAATTTTCGTAAACGGAGTCCGAGCTGTCATGTTGACTTGGCGTGTGCTCGCCGCGCGCGTACCCGAGTACTGGCTGTTCTGTTCGGGTATCGTATATAAAGTATCGCGAGGTTTAACGCCCTTCTCGTGTCGTTGGTTCATTGTTGCCATAGATGGTTTACCAAGTTTGTCATCGCAATACCCGGTGTTTTCAATATCTAATATTTTGGCTGTAAAGACAAGATGTGAACCATCTTGAGTCTTATCTGTCTTCCAATTCAACTGAAACTCAATACTTCACTCAAAAC